TAGGCATCTGATTTTTAAAAAAGTCACTTTGGAGCAAAAGTGTAGGTCATTACCATTGTTGTTGTTATTATTATTATTACTATTAGTAGTAGTAGTAGTCAATTGATCAAATTATACTTATTTTTTTGTCAGATCAGCAAAAAATAAAACATTTTTTGGTGTGCTGCAGAATTGTAGTAATTAGTTTATGTGTGCCATGAGATGAAAAATGTTGAAAATTGCTGCTTTAATATATTCTAATCCTGTCATAAAATTTTACTGGCTGGTCACTTAAATGCATGGTTAGAAATAAATTTGATGACCCATATAGAAATTGCAGGCACATCCCCAGTAGGAGGTGTGCAAGAGGCAGCTGATCGGTTTCTCTTTCATCGATGTTTAACTCTCTATCTCTCTCCCTTCTTCTCTGTGAAAAATCAATAAAATATATTAAAAAAAAAAAAACAACAAAAAAAACTACTCTTGACCTTTCAATTAGCATATCAAGTTATATCAGGCCAAATATAGCAGTTTTGGGCTATAGTTAAGTAATTTATTTATAACAGGAATTATTAACCACAAGGTTCTCTCTCAGATTAAAAGTTTTGTAATGTATCTAGAATGTTCAATTTATTCAATTTATTAGGAAATCAAAAGAAATATAGAGTTCTAAACATCACTCTGACAGATTTATTTGCCCTTATTTCTATTAAAAGTATTTTGAAACCTTTGATTTGATACTAAAAATCAGTAACATGAGTCACCTTCTTTGTTCTAGGATAAACAGAACACATGCTTTCTACTGTTTCCTTGATCAATGAGAAAATGCCTTATAGCAAAACCACATGGAGAGAATATAGCTGTAGGTGATCCCCTGAGAGGTTTTTTGATTGGAGCTGGAAGTTTGGTATTGAAAGAAGAGGGAGACAGACAGGTTGTTTGAAAAAATTCCCATTAGACCAAATGCTTATGTTGGAGCAGTGCTATAACATTTTTCATGAGAAAGTGTAACTTTATCAGTTTTAAAGGTTAAAGGCTATTCATTGCATCATTATAATAATGTATTTCTAGTTTGGAATTTTTGTATACATCATATTGCACTTCATTAGCCAGTGGACCAGAAATTTCATTTATTCACACGCTGCTTGTCAGTCCTTTTTTTCTAGGATTTTATTCTGGAAATACATTATTACAAAATTTATCATTTATCTTAAGGTCAGTGCAACTGCAGTACATTTTCTTTAGCTAAATACACTTGTCAAGTTTATAGACAGCAAAAGGAGAGGTAAACTTGATGATTTGACTTACAATTATTGTGATATATGTACCATGTTAATGTTGATATTCTTTTCTTAGGAATTCTAATATCATTAGATGAGTACTCTTGACATTTACTCTGCTAGTCATGGGTTGCTAAAACTTCTGTATACATTCAAGTTTGGGTGCATTTTAAAACTCTGATTATATGACATTAATATGTGCTTCATTTTGTTTATTTTTTCAGTCCTCACCCGAGGGTATTTTTTCCATTAACTTTCAGAGAGAGTTGAAAGGAGGGAGGAAGAGGAGAGAGAGAAACAGAGAGAGACAGACAGAGACAGATAGAGTGAGAGAAACATCGACCTGAGAGAGACACATTGATTGGCTGTCCTGCATGAGGCCCCACCAGGCCAGGATCAAACCTACAACTGAGGTATGTGCCATTGATTGGGAATTGAACCCACAACTCTTTGGTCCGAGGGCCGACTTTCTAACCACTGAGGAAAACTGGCCAGGGCTGTTTTTAATTTTGAATATCTCAGTAGTTTGAAGTTTTCCTTGTAGTCATGCTGTGAGGATGCACAACATTTTAACCTCTCTTTCCTTAAATTTAAAAAACAAAAAAACAAACTAGGAATATTTAGTGTTTTCCTGAAAGAAGAGAAGCAAAGTTAATTGTTTTAAGAAGATTCTAATTGAAGAATTACTAGTAAGGTGCCTTAGTCTTGAGATTGGCTTGGTCCTGGCACTGCTCCGTGGCAGTGGAGTCCCAGATGCCTGGCCAAGCATCCCTTACCGACATCTGGAACCAGTTGCAATACATCACTGTCAAAACTGCTTTCTATACGTATCTGCATTTACACATTAGTTACCCACGCAGCACTCATCAAAAAAGCTGAACAATCTTGACATGGTGTCCCTTGTGGAACTGCAAAGGTGAACCGAAGTTGGGAGGCAGTGTCTCGCGTCACTGTCTGCTGAGCTCTTACAACAGGAAGCATGATTAAAAGTGAAAAGAAAAATTTATCAGTTGCCTCGGCTCTGTAGACTTCAGAATAATTTTTTATTTACAAAAGGGATTTTTTTTATATTATGTAAAGCATATGTATTATGATCATCAAACTGATTTTGTTTAGAGGCAAGAAAATTTCTAACTTTTAGTGGAGAAAAGATTGGTTTGTATATTTCTTAGATTTTTTTTTACTAGCTAGGTAATTTATTTTATGTATCGTTTTAGAGACAATTTAAATTAACAATAGAACCATAAATTATATAAAAAATACTTGTAACACTGTCACTTAAATTTAATTGATGAATCATATAAAATTTAAAATAGTTCAGCTTTGGTGAAGTAATATTTTTGCTCATTAATTTTTAAAAAGCTGATTAATAGAAAAAGAAAAGTAGTTATTTATAGATGTTTTGTATTGTGTATCTGTTTTTGAAGAAGAAATCAGAATTTTGACAAGAAACCAACATTGGCTCTTTACCTAAAGAACTACTCAGGAGTCTTTGCTATCACGTCCTCTACAATAATAGTACAACTAATAGTAATGATGACAATGGCGGGCATTTTGTGTACTGCAAATAGTCTATATGCTTTATATGGGTTATCTCATTCAGACTTAATAAACAGGAATACTTGTTTCCCTATTGATGGAAGGAAAACTGTGGTTAATGAAGATAAGAGATTCTCCCAAATTCACACAATTAATAAGTGGTAGAGCTAGGTTTCAATTCCCTAGTAGTCTGTTAGCTGATACTGTTTTTTGTTTCTTTTTATTCATTGGATTGTATTTTTTACTTTATAAAGATTTTCCAACATGATAAAAAGAATGTACAGTGAACTCTTATATAACTATCAGCCAATTTAATCACCACTAATATTTTATACTTGTTTCATATTTCCTTCCACAGCCTTTTTCCTGCTAGGATATATTTAAAGCAAATTTCAGACACCATGTAATTTCAATTCTAAATATTTAAGTTTGCTTTTTTAAAAAAAGTTTTTTAAAATTGATTTTTAGAGAGAGAGAAGGAAGAGAGAGAGAGAGAGAGAGAGAGAGAGAGAGAGAGAAACACATCGTTATAAGAGCAAAGAGCATCAATCAGCTGCCTCCTGTATGCCCTGCACTGGGAATCAAACTGAGAACCCCTCGGTGCCCAGGCCAACACCCAACCAGCTGAGCCACACTGGCCAGAACAAGTCTACTTTTTAAGAAGCTATTTTCTTCCTTACATAAACCACAGTGTCATTATCACACCTCACAAAATTGGTAAGTTCTTCAATTAACAAGTCTTTATCTTAATATCATCTTATATCTATTCAGATTTCCTGATTGTTAAACATATATATGTCATTTTACTGTTGGGTTGTTTGAATTAGGTTCCAAAAATGTCCATTCACTATGTTTGATTGTTATGACTCTTTAACTGTCTTTTAAACTAGAACAGAGACACCCTAATCCCCAACTCCCTCACCAGCCACCAGTGCTTTTCCACATACTTTTGACTTCTTGAAGAAACCAGAATGATTATCCTGGATTTTCTTGATTATTTCTTCATGGCATTATTTCATTTATGCCTGCCTGTATTCTCTAACTTCTAGACTGGAAGTTAGATCTAAAGGCTTGATTAGATTCATATTGTATCATGTCAGCCATAAAGTTTGGTTGTCTTACTTTTTGTAATGCTAAGATTGATTTCAGTAGTGCCAGCCTGCTCCTTTCATTGTCAAGTTCCTCATTCATCATCCTTTTACCTAATGGTTTTATCCTCCATGGATGATCAGTGCTTGAATTACTGAATTTCTTAGGGCTTGAAAATGGTAATTTCCAATTATGTTATTCCTTCTTCATTTATTAGCCAAAACTCTTTAAAAGAGTTTTATTCAATTCAGTAGAGATATTTGGTTATCCTGAAATGCAATTCATACTGGAAAGGCAGTATAAAATACTTAATTCTTCCCTTTTAATTATCAATTTCCAGAGTAAAGAGGTAGTGCCTTAATATTCTCCAGTGGTGTATAAGTTTTGATTCCTTCCTTCCCTCCTTTCTTTGTCTCTTTCTTGTTTCTTTATATTTTATTTAAGTTGTTACTATGGAGTTTCGGCTTTTTTGTTGTTGTTAATCCTCACCCTAGGGTATTCCATTGATTTAGAGAGTTGAAGGGAGGGAGGCAGGAGAGAGAGAGTGAGAGAGAGAGAGAAACACATTATGTGAGAGGGACACATCGATTGGTTACGTCCTACACGTGCCCTGACTGGGTCTGGAGATCGGACCTGCAACCCAGGGACATGCCCTTGACTGAGAAACGAACCTGAGACCCTTTGATGTGTGGGCTAATTCTCTAACCATTGAGAACACTGTCCAGGGCATGAGGTTTTGGCTTTTTGCATGTGCAGTGTGTTTTAATCAGTTGCAGGCATTATTCGTTTTTTTTTGTTGCAGTTATTATTATTATTTTTTTTATTGCTTAAAGTATTACAAAGGGTATTACATATGTGTCCATCCCCCCCGCCCCCCCGCCCTAGACAGTCCGCTAGCCTCCCCTATCCCCCAGTGTCTTATGTCCATTGGTTATGCTTATATGCATGCATACAAGTCCTTTGGTTGATCTCTTACCCCCGTACCTCCTGCCCCCCAACCCTCCCCGGCCTTCCTGTTGCAGTTTGACAATCTGTTTGAGGCAGCTCTGCCTCTGTATCTATTATTGTTCAAAAGTTTATAATGGTCTCTATTATCCACGAATGAGTGAGATCATGTGCATTATTCGTTTTGATGCTGAAATTGTCCCGCATTCGTCCAGGGGGATCTCCTTTTAGCTGGCTCCTGTATCCTTGTTTTTTTTTTATTTTTGGGTTTAAAAAATAATTCTTTATTGTTTAAAGTATTACATATGTCTCCTTTTCCCCCATTGACCTCTTCCTGGGCGTTCCCACCCCGCAGCACATGCTCTCACCCCCCTACTGTCTGTGTCCATGGTTATGCTTATATGCATGCATACAAGTCCTTAGGTTGCTCTCTTATCCCCCTTCTCCTGGCTTCCTTCTGAAGTTGGATGGTCTGTTCGATGCTTCTATGTCTCTGGCTCTATTTTTGTTCATCAGTTTATATTGTTCACTATATTCCACAAATGAGTGATATCATGTGATAGTTACCTTTCTCCAACTGGCTTATTTTGCTTAGCATGAAGCTCTCCAGGTCCATCCACGCTGTTGCAAATGATAAGAATTCCTTCTTTTTTTTTTTTTTTACTGCAGTCTAGTATTCCATTGTGTAGATGTACCAGTTTTTTAAATCCACTTATCTGCTGATGGGCACATAGGCAGTTTGCAAATCTTAGCTATTATAAATTATGTTGCTATGTACATAGGAGTGCATATATCCTTTCTGATTGGTGTTTCTGATTCTTTGGGAGATAGTCCTACAAGTGGGATTACTGGGTCAAATGGGAGTTCCATTTTTGATTTTTTGAGGAAACTCCATACTGTTTTCCTTCTGTGTCCTTTTGATAAGACTCTATCATTAGCTATTATCACTCTTACTTTCTTCCATAACAAACTATGCCAGGCTCATCTTGTATATTCCTAGCATTACATGTAGAATCTGCCATTTTCCCGAAGAGCCATCTTTGTTTGTTTTTATTGAGGAATGACATGTAAAGACCACAATATGGGTACTTAATGCTATTGGGTTGTTTGCATTTAGGAAAAAAGAGGGAAATGAATTCACATTGCTAATTCTAATTGGAATGTAAGATTACAGGGTTTTTACTTAATGTTTTTGATCTTATACTTGTACCTTTCTTCTTTATGTTAAAAGTTGTATTCCTAACAAAAGTAACATAATTTTTTATTTTCTTTGTCCTATATTTTAATTAGAGGCCTGGTGCATGGATTCGTGCACCGGTGTAGTCACTCTGCCTGGCTTGTGCTCTCTCGCAATCTGAGACCCCCTCGGGGGATATTGGATTGCCGGTTTCTGTCAGACATCCCCCAAGGGATGTAGCAGTGTGCGAAGTGGCAGGGGGCTGTGGAGGAGTCCGAGCCTGGGCTGGGCACCACTCCCATTCATCCTGGCCCCTCTGCGCCTGCCACCACCGCCACCGCTGCTCTGTAGCACGCTGCCACGAAGGTGGGAGAGGCTCATGCTGCCGCATCTGCACTTGCCCGCTTTGAGCCCGGGGTCTGGCGCCTGTCAGTCAGCTGAGCGGCGCTCCCGCTGTGGGAGTGCACTGACCACCAGTGGGCAGTTCCTTAATTCAGTGTCTGCCCCCTGGTGGTCAGTATATGTCATAGTGACCGGTTGTTCAGTCATTTGGTCGCTTAGGCTTTTATATATATAAATGGTTTCAAAATTGAATGTGAAGTTAAAGCCTTTGCAGTTCTTTGGGTGAGGGCCCTCAGATAATATCTTCCTGTGGATGTATAATTGATTGGATATTTTATGTATCCACTATGTTCTGAGGTCAGATTGACAGGCAGTCATATTTAAAGAGTCTTCGGTTTTTAAGCTTGTTTTCTGCTATGAGTTGGAGCCTGTGTAACTCCTTCCAGTTTCAGTAATTATTCTCAGCTTCCCTTGCCTAGGATCCCACATAGCACTGATCCTTTACTCTTTTCGGGTGATTTTTTTATTGGTGAGTTCTGGGTTCCATGACTTTCCCTCTTCTATTTCTCTTTGCCATCACAACTTGTTGCTATTGGATGTTTTTGGCCACTCCTATCAATATTCTAGGATTTGGGGGTATGATTTGTCACCTCTTTTTTGGTAGAAAATGTCATGTGGGTATATATTCTGTCCTAATCGCTGTCTAATTATGATTCTTTCTTTCTTTCTTTCTATCTATCTATCTATCTGTCTGTCTGTCTGTCTGTCTGTCTGTCTGTCTGTCTATCTATCTATCTATCTATCTATCTCTATCTTGCTATGTTTTTATTTCTGAAAGTTCCAGTGTCTGTATAATCTTAACCATTGTATGGTATTGCCTCTGTGATGCTCTAGCATGCAACTCTGCTTTTAAGAAAGACTTCTTTTGTGTTTTATGCTTCAGTGCTAGTAAAGCATTTATAGTAATAAGTTCCTGAAATCTGCCAGGAATATGCTGGTAATGAAAAATATATTTTCTTGCTGAATCCTCATAAGACCACCATAAATTTGTGTATCCTAATTTTATAGGTTAGAAAACTGAGGATTAGCAAAGTTAAGGAACTTGCCTAAGGCTACATAGCCAAATGACAATGCTCGTTTCAAACTGAAATATATCTCGCTCCAGAGCCTATGCCTTTCCTATTTACACTATATTTAGTTTCTATGAACTTTCTGTAACATGGCTCTCAAAAGCAGCTGGCAGAGTATCTTAAAGCAAAAAGTTTTAGGTTGGGGGTGTAAGACACAAATAAACCCACCCACTTAAAGTGGACAAGCCAGTTTATTTTTAACAGATTCACAGACTTATGCAACCATCACAATAATCAATTTTAGCACATTTTCATCACCTCCCAAAAAAGCCTTATACCCATTTCCTCCCAATTCCACGTTTACCCCAGTCCAGCCCAGGTAACCACTAACCTACTTTCTGCCTCTATAGGTTTGCCAAATCTTGACATTTCAAATCAATGGGATCACACAATATGTGGTCTTTTGTGATTGGCTTACCATTATATTTTCAATGTTCTTTAATGTTGCAGCATGTATCAATATTTCATTTCTTTTTATTGCAGAATAATTTTTCATTGAATGTATATTTTATTTATTCACTTATCAGTTGATGGGTATTGGGTTGCTTTACTTTTTTGGCTATTATGAATAATGCTGCTATGAACAATCGCAAACAAGTTTAAGTATGGACATACACTTTCATTTTTTCTTGGGTATACATCTTGGAATGTAACTGCTGCATCATGTGGTAACTTTATGTTTATCCTTTGAGGAACTCCCAGGCTTTTCCCCAAAGTGGCTGCACCATTTTATACTCCCATGTGCACCAGATGAGGGTCCTAATTTCAGTTTACCTTTTAACAATGTCATAATTCAGATAAATACTGCTTGCTTTCTCTGAGCCAGAGATTCTTCTAGGTACTGAATATACAGCAGTGAACATTGCTGACAAGTATGCTGCCCTCAAAGATGATATAATTAAGTGTAGAAGACAGACTAAATAGAATAATTCAGAGCATAATAAATGTTATGAAGGGTTATCTGGGATAGGAGGAAACTTTAGAAAGAGTAATGTGGGAAAGTTTCTATAAGCAAAGAAAATATATCAACTAAGATTTAGAAATATAGCTGGAGGGGGGGAACAAGGGAAGCAAATGCTCCATGAACGTCACCTTTCAACAAGTTTTTAGGGTGATAATGCTGATGTGATAGTGGCTAAGGTTTATAATGGACCAATTGTTTATACATTTTATATAAATTATATCCTTTGCCTGGTTTTCTAATAGGCTTGTTTTTATTACCGATTTATAGCAGTTGTATGAATTTGGGATTCTAATACAGTAAAACATAGACAAAAGCAAAAGATATAAAAAGACAACAGAAAAGGCAATACAAATAATTCTTAAACAAATTGCCAACCTTATTTAAAATAAGGTAAAGAATAACAAGGCGTTTGCATTCAGGAGTAGGAAAATGACTTTTAAAATGTACTTTTTGCATATTGAACTATATGACTTATGCTTTAAAATCTAGATGGTAATTATTAAGGTTAATAAAGGGCCATTTTGAACTATTCTGCAATTAATTTTCCCAAATAGTGAAGGTCTCAAGAATGTCCATAGTGTTTGATTTGTTAAGGTTTTCAAAAAGGTAGCAACGAAAGGATGCATTTTTGATTGGTGCTGCTCTATTGAAATGGAAGGTAGAAACATTCTAAGAGCAGAGCCACTGCCATGTATTTGGCACCCTGAGGAAAAACAGATTCTGCTATCCTTTCTTCCTTTTTTTCCCCTTTATTTTTCAAGACATTTTGGACAATAGGTTCTTGCTCTAACAATTTTAAAGAAATTTTTGCAATCCATACAAACAGTTGCTGTACTAAGCTACAAACGGCTTCCCATTTGCAGTGCTCAACTTGCACTCCTTAGTATCATCAGACACTCCAGACATATTTTGGTAGACAAGAAGATTTGGGCTACACATGGAAAATGATAGGAGGATATATTTTGCAGAACGTGGGAAATCTACCAAATCACATTCTTAGGATATGATATAGTTATCTACGCTAATATATTAAGTCTATTGCTAACTAGTGTTGCAACCTGCTGTTCTTTGTTCTTCATGAGATTAAATTGGACTCTGCCAATGTCAGGTGACAAAAACACATATACCTAACACTAGCTCTTTGTACCAAAGCACAAAATATTTGTAGAGAACAAATGCCAGGAATGGTGGCTGTTATTGTATTGTCTAGAGTAGAAATGTGTGGTACCTAATCTAAGAAGGTTTTATGAAATTAAGAGACTAAAGTAGAATCTTAAAGATGGAAAGAAAATGGATGTTGGGAGGGAGATTGTGAGAGTTTTCAGGGAAATAACATGTAAGGAATGTCAAATTTTTGCCAAGGCAGAAGAAAAAGTGAAGGCAGCAAGGTAAGATGGATATTAAAATATATATATTAATATATTTTTATTGATTTCAGAGAGGAAGGGAGAGGGAGAGAGAGATAGAAACATCAGTGATGAGAGAGAATTATTGGACGGCTACCTCCTGCAGCCCCCTACTGGGGATTGAGCTCGCAACCCAGGCATGTGCCCTTGGCTGGAATTGAATCCAGGACCCTTCAATCCACAGGCTTGAAGCACTTTCCACTGAGCCAAACTGGCTAGGCCTAAAAAATATTTATTTTTATTGATTTCAGAGAGGATGGGAGAGAGAGAAAAAAAACCATCAATGATGAGAGAGAATCCCTGGGGCATTACTTCCTGCACGCCCCACACTGGGGATCCAGCTTGCAACTGTGCCCTGACCAGGAATTGAGCTGTGATGCTCAATCACTGAACCACATTGGCTGGGCAAGGTGGAGATTTTTGGTGGAGCCTAATACTTAGAAGAATGATCCAGAATATGGGCTTTGGTGTCATACAGAACTGGATTTGGGTCCCAATTTCACTACTTCCCAGCTAGGTTGCCTGGAAGAAATAACTTTAAATTTCTAAAAAGAAGATAATTATAGTGCTCTTTCTCAGCGAGTAGTTGTGAGAATTAAATAAAATCATGTGTGGAAGCATAAAGCCAAGGGCCTTGCACATAGTAGGTGCTCAGTAGATATATGTTACTACTGTTAATGATAATTTTGAAGTGAGAACCAATTAAGTCTCATTCATTGTTGGTTTGAAGAATCAAGAGGAAACATGATGTATAAGGAGAAGTGTACTCATTCAGAATACCTATCACTTGTATAGATTGAGTAAATTAATATCTTCTTCATGGCAATTCAATTAGAATGAGGTTTAAAAGAGAGAGGAAGGATAAAGAAATAGCCTTCTAATAAAAATACCTTGTCTTTGCCCTGGCCAGTGTGGTTAGAACATTGGCCCGTGCACCAAAGGGTTGCAGGTTCAATTTCTGGCCAAGGGAATGTACCTGGGTGGCAGCTCCCTTCCTTGGCTGGCCAGCTGGGGCTCTGTGGGAGATGTTTCTCTCTCCCTCCCTCCCATTCTCTCTAAAAATCTATAGAAAAAATATCTCAGATGAAGATTAACCAAAAAAGAAAGAAAGAAAAAGGAAATAAAAATACTCTCAATGGGGGGGAAAGGGAGACATTGTGTAATACTTTTAACAATATAAAAAAACTTTGTCCTTGCCTTTCACCCCTAACACATGTAACCTACTTTACATTTAACTTCATTGAGCTTGACTGTGATAATGAGAGTTCTTGAGATACACTAGAAGCTCAACAAATGCTAATTTTATTCATATAATTCTTTACCTGCCCTTGCCAAAGGATGAAATGGAAAATAATTATTGAGAAACAGGATTTTAGGAAGTGAAGGATAAATGGAAGGGTTGAGAGTAAGAGTAAGCACTGGTTACCAGGTGGTATGGTTGTAAACTCCAGTTGTATTGAATGAACAGATGTAACTTCTTACACAGTGAAAGTTAGCAGGGTTTAACATGAGCAGACACAGAGAGAAAAGCCAAAGATATATGGGGAGGTCAAAAGCTTGGAAACCAGAGAGCATATCAGTCCTGCTGACTGTGATAGGAGAGTTAGGTAAGAAGTTTTGGATGACTATAAAACATCCAAGTATATACACTGTATGGACAACAAGAAATGAAAGCCTGAGAAAAGGATAAGAAAAGGGGATCATGTTGGCATGATTCTTAAACATTCCAAGACTGTCTTTTTAGTGGCTTCCTGTTTATGGATTGAGATAACGAACTCCTGACATCTCATACATTTATACTCCATTTTGAAGTTTTTTTGGCTTTAAAAATTCTTAGTGTTAAGCAAAAGCTTTAAGAGACTAGGACAGTGTTCTGTTATCTGTCAATCTCCTGATGCCCATTTCTGGGCTACAGGGAGCACTTTGGACAGTGGGCCATTCGGATGCCTCTTTGTAAATATGGGTATCACCAGAGGGCTTATTTTTATGCTTTCTGTGTTTATATGCAAATAATGCTATCCTCTCTGTATGTTGGCTTTTGGGCAGTTATTTCTTATAGGCAATGTATAACAAAAGGTAACTTTTTTTTCTAGTCTTTTCTGCTTGGCTTTTATGTTATTGCTTATATATGCATTAGGGGCTTAGTTGTGACTATTAACATACATTCCATCCCTTAGCAATAGCCAAACTTCCAAGTAAAATTTTCTCCTTTCCTTTAAAGAATTGGTCATTTTTCTTTACTAACTCTCTGATCTTCTTGGTGCATTGACCATAATTTTATACCAGTAGCGTATGGTATCTTTCTATATGAAGAAAAATTTTATTTGAAAAATATTAGTTTTAAAATGTGCTATCTGGCCTTTTGGGACATTATGTATGTATAGGATAAAGGGCAAAGACTGGAAATATTTATATTACAAGGCTATTTCTTTCCTCTTGCTCTTTCTTTTGAATCTCATTCTAATTGAATTGCTCTGGGAAGAGTATTGTAAAGTGAGTCTAGGTTTGAACCCAAATTGTACCTCTTTTGTGGAATTTGCTTGGTTGATTTAAAGTTGTTCGATATGTTACTGTTATTGCCTGTATAGAGCTTCACCATTTCTGGTTTCTGTTGATCAAGTTAACCCAATATGGCATCTAACTGTAGAAATTTAGTTAGAAATTATTACATTATTATGTATTAACATTTATTAGGACTCCCCATATACTAGAGATTGTGATAGGCTCTTTACATGCATCAACTGTGATTTGCTTTATTATTCCTGTTTTTCAGATGAGGAAACTTCAAGACCTAGGAAGGTTTAATAATTGACCAAGATCACCTGGCTATTAAGTAGTAGGGTTTGTACTTGTTCCCAAGTTCTAGTTAAATTTTAAATTAGGTTAGTACATATTGTTAAATTTATTGTCATTATTTAAAACTCAAATATTTTGTGACAGTATTTTAAAAATCAGGCTTGGCTAATGCTTGGTTCTGTGGGGGTAGGAGAGATGTAGTTGATTATTCGTCTATTTGCATTTATCTAGTACCCCCTAGGTTCTGTGGTTTTTTACCTTGGATTTGCAATATGGTAGGCAGAGAAATGCATGGCTGGATTTTTATGTACGTAACTGTTGCAACAGGATGTTGATCACCACTACTTTTTCTCTTTGCTGTTTCATCCCTAGAGTGTTGCCTTACCTCAGTTTGTTCAGTGACAGAGAAGGAAAAGAGGCAAGAGTGAAGTCTCTGGAGGATAGCTCTACTGTTGTCTGACTTGTTTTGGACTTGAGCTCCCAGTGCCTTTAGCATGTACAGCCTGCTTTTGTTCAGAATGTTGTGGGGTGGGCAGTGCTCTGCTTACTGTAGGCTGAAGTGATTGTCCTGGTTACAGAATGCAGGGAGATTAAGTTGATTTCTTAACTGTTCTAGACGGAGTTAATTTTAAAAGAATGTTGTAGTAAACTGTAGCATTGGGTTAGTGTGGAAAAATTTAAATGGGTAAAAATAGTTTGACCTCAGTGCTTTTGCTTTTTAGTGAAGTTTCTGATATACTGTTAACAAGTATCAAGATGAAACATTTAAGTAAAGGCAATAAATACCCTATCTGAAATATGAAATGATTTGTATTTTCTTATATTGTATCTCAAGCTCTAATTTTGAAGACTTTCATTTAGTATATCTTTATTTTTTGATGAAGTGGCAATTTGTTTTTTGCTTTCAAATAATAAAGTAACTGACCTCCTTAATATGGAGTTAGAAATATAAGCTGTGTTTCTAAAGCAAAAAGTTGCTTTAGTGAGTTTTCTGTGTGCCAGCTCTTCTCTTTCAGGTCTTCTTACTGAAGCTAAACATCAGTTCAGTTGACAACTTTACTCAATTCTAGGCAACAGTGGCCATGCTCTGGCCTGCAGAGACAGTGAATCCATTCTGGCTCTGACACCCAATTTTATTGTAAAACACATTCATGTTGACATCATATCAGTTTTCTGAACTATTACATGCATAAAAGAATTCACCTCTCTCCATTCAGTCTTTTTCAGCCGTCCTGTAAGGAGAAATTCACACACCTAGTGTTTTCATTTTGCATTTCATGTGGTCTAGACCAGAAAATAGCAGCTTCAGTTTTAAAAAACGTGTTTTTGGAGGCACTGAGCAGAGTGTATTAGCTTAATGGTGTTCATTGATAGGAAGGAGAAGACTAAAGGGAAATGCACAAGGCAGTTTTTAGGCCAGAGCAGTAGGAAGTGTAGGGTAAAGCAGGTCAATATTGTCCCAAGATTATGGAGACAAGTAGGTAGAGTTCTTTTGCATGCAACTTTCATTTTTTAAAAAATTGTTTTATTGACTTTTTAGAGAGAGAGAGGGAGGGAGAGGGATAGAGAGATAACAAAATCAATGAGAGACACCGATCGACTGACTCTTGCACGCCTCCTTCTGGGAATTAAGCCCGCAACCTGGGTTTGTCCCCGGACCGGGAATGGAACCAGGGACCTCTTGGTCAACATTCAACCACATAGGCCGGGCACAATTTCTGTTTGAAGACTTGCTTGCTTTTTGTGCTCATCCATGCCCAATTTTGTGGGCTTTCCCTCAGACTTCCTTTCTTAATTGTATTGTTTTGTGAAGGTCTTTTTAAATTGCTGATTTTTTGTTTGCTTGGTTTACTTGTATTAGAACTTGTGAGTTTTGCATTTAGAATTTGCTTAAAATATGACCCAAATTTTCACCTTTATTTTAGGGGGGAAGTAGTCTTTCTTGTATACAAAATTCAGCCCTTCCATTTTTCTGTCAATTCTAGCATTGTACTGAGTTTTACTGAGACTATCCCTTGGCTTTCATGATAAAGAAATTCCACCTTTTCACTTTTAATGGTGCTTGATTTGATTGGGAACAATAATAAAATATTAAGGTATCTTCTTTTCCATTTTCTCTCTTTAGTGAATACAGACTTCCCTAAAATATCTTAAGCCTAGTTGGAAAATGTAATAAGCCTTTCCTTGTTATTTGGTTGTACTGTTCAGAGATTGTTCATTGGGAATTTCATTTACCCATAAGAGACTGATATTCTAACATGGAGTGATTACAAATGTTGTTTATAAACCAATATCATGAATGTCTCCATGAGGTTACTTAAATATGAGTGTGTAATTTACATGAGATTTTAAAAGGAGTTGTTCTCAAGCCTTTAGATGTATATGCTAATTAATTCTTATCTATATTATTTTGGGTCTGGTGTGATCATATGGAGCACATGGAGAATTTTAAAAAGGCTTTTTCTATTATCTGTATTTCCTAAACATTATGGGCAGAATAAGGTTGGAATAGAGAGAGAAAATTGCAAACATACCCTGAC